ATCTATCTATGTATGTATGTATGTATGTATGTATGTATGTATGTATGTATGTATGTATGTATGTATGTATGTATGTATGTATGTATGTATGTATGTGTGTGTGTGTGTGTGTGTGTGTGTATGTATGTATGTATGTATGTACACACATAGCGTTCAACCATTCATTGGTAATGCTGATTAGGCTACACTTATTTACACTCGCAACGATATAAACGCTTACGAGTCTAACCCATGATAGTCGTTTATCCTATGAATGCAGCATTGACTTGTCACATGTGTTTGCTTAATGTCCGTGAATGTACCATGGGCTAAAGAGGGGACATTGAAATAAAAACTATTTAGCATGTTGTTTTAAATCATTTTAGTTACTGATGGTTATTTACACAGTAAAGCCCAGTTTCTCTATAGCTAATTGGGTTTACATCTCATAGTTTGTTTACAGGTGCCCGTTTAACTCGGGACATCTCACAACATAGTCTCATGTTAATGAGGGTACAACTGGTAACCAACAACCTTACATAAAGGCATATTTTTCTTTTGAAAGTGACCTGATAGATTATTTCAGAATGTTCCCACATGTAAATAAGTTATTTGAACACTGTGTCCATTTTGTATTATGTTACCCCATCTCAATGATTAGTTTTTCATCAGCTGTAACAAAGGGACATGCTGTGATTATCTACTGGGGACACTGCTGAATACACAAACATAGCACATCTCTCTACATCACAGTGACATAAATGCATGTTGTTCAAAATGGCTCATCACTGTTCACAGCCTTTTGGCCTTTTACTCCCGCCCCCATCACCCGTCCCTGTGTGTGCAGGACTACAAGTTGAATTTTGGCCTGTACAATAAATATGTGGACAACATTTGGCACGGTGGAGTGGCCACCATTGAGTCCTGTCAAGGGGCTGAGGTGTGGGGGGTCATTTGGACTTTGAGCAACGAAAACCTCCCGAGCCTGGACAAGTGAGACACTCATTAACCCAGCCTTTTTTTCAGTTCATTGTATTGTTGTTAACTAACTACAGTCTGGTTGTTCTCTTTATGTCCTCAGTCAGGAAGGGGTGAATGAAAGCTATTACTCTCCTCTTGAACTTTCATTAGAGACTGACAAAGGACTCCTACTGTGCAGGACTTATCAGATGAACAATTTCCACGCCTGCCCTCCCTCGCCTCAGTACAAACAGGTGTGTGCATGCAAACACAACCATTGCCCAATACAACACACTAACACAATCATTTTCATATCAATTACTCACTTTGAATTCTTGAAGAAAGTTTTTTTTTATCTCATGCCTCCGGGGTGAACAAATGATCAATTTGGGGCTGTGTTTAACATCTGAGAAACTATATTATAACATCTGTTTCTCACACAACAATGCAGTATAATCTGAATCTCATTTATTCAGGGGAACGCTCAATACTTCCCAAAGAAGATTTTTTACGAAAACCTTTCTAAATATTAAACTTCTTCATAAACATTAGGCTACATGCAGGGATAAGTTGCCTTAGTTGGATGGTTTTTTTTATTAAATGGTTTGAGCGAAATTAGTATATGACTGGCCCCCCATTTTTTAAGTGTCCTTTGTTTACCATGGAAATATGTACCAACAACAGTTTACTTTAAAAATGCAAAGTGACACGGGGTGAGTAATTGATTTACAAGAAAAGGCCATTTTGGTGAAGTATTCCTTTTAAGCTACAACAGCAATGAGTGACACATTCCAATTGACTTAGTGCAATGTTTTGTGACTAAATTCACATGTGTAACAGAGTGTGTCTCTGCATGTGTTTCTTATCAGGTGGTGTAGTGGAGAGTTAGAGATAACTCAGTGTTGGCACTAGTTTTGTGTCTATCACTAGGTTCACCCAGGTGTGTCGGCCAGAACACCACTTTAGGCCAAAGGTCCAGAATAGAGGAAATGAGGAACTAAGATGAGGCTTGACTTCTTTACTTATTTAGGCAGACATACAGATATTTGTCTGTGTGGTTTTTCCTACAAGGGAAATAAACAAAANCAACAAGAAGTTATTAAACCCTCCAACAGGATGTTATTACATTCTCCAGTTATCAAACCCTTGAAAAGGAAGTTTGTGTGTGTGTGTGTGTGTCTGTCTGTCTGTCTGTCTCTGTGTGTCTGTGTGTCTGTCTGTCNTGGATAAAAGCGTACAGCTAAATGCAATGTAATGTAATGTAGTTATGTAGGATAATGTTTATGTGGCGTTAAAGGTGAGATATTATGTGTTAACAGTTCTGAACTGTTAACACATAATATCTCACCTTTAACGCCACATAAACATTATCCTACATAACTACATTACATTACATTGCATTTAGCTGTACGCTTTTATCCAAAGCGACTTACAATAAGTGCGTTCGACCAACAAAGTACAAACTTGAAGAAAACAGAATCATATAAGTACATCAGGTTTCATAGAGCTAAAACATTTCAAGTGCTACTCAACTGGCTTTAGATAAGACAGTCCTTTATTAGTATACAAGTGCTTTGTTAATAGTTCCATCGCTCGAAGTGGAGTCGAAAGAGATGAGTTTTCAGTCTGCGCCGGAAGATGTGTAAGCTTTCTGCTGTCCTGATGTCAATGGGGAGCTCATTCCACCATTTTGGAGTCAGGATAGCAAACCCAGGTGTTTTTGCTGATGGGAACTTGAGTCCCCCTCGCAGAGCGGAGTGCACGTGCTGGGGTGTATGGTTTAACCATGTCCTGGATGTAGGAAGGGCCAGATCCATTCGCAGCAGGGTACGCAAGTACCATTGTCTTGAAGTGGATTCTAGCAGTTACCGGAAGCCAGTGAAGGGAGCGGAGGAGCGGCGTGGTGTGGGAGAATTTAGGAAGGTTGAAGACCAGACAAGCCGCTGCATTCTGGATGAGCTGCAGAGGTCGGATGGCACAATGGCACATGCAGGTAGACCAGCCAGGAGGGAGTTGCAGTAGTCTAGGCGTGAGATGACGAAAGCCTGGACCAGAACCTCCGTCGCTTTCTGGGTCAGCTGGGGACGTATTCTCCTGATGTTGTAAAGAGTGTATCTGCAGCAGCGGGTTGTAGCAGCCTATCCTATTACATTAATAATAGATCTGTGCCACTCAACACGGTGTATACACCCCTAACTTTGAGACAGGAGTGCCGACTCACTTGACAAGTGACTTAATGAGCAGCCAAAATAAACATGCACGCAGCATGCACCGATCACATGAGCATGGAGACTCTGCATTAAGCCACATCGGCACAGAAGTTATCACAATAATAATGTCGTGTAGAACAACATAACAAGCTGCACTGTGGACAAACACTCACGTTCATTTACGCACACAATACGAAGCTTAAGATGGCATAACTTTTCTGCAACTACTGACGCACATTACCCTCTGATGTGTGACGTCACCCAAAACACGTGGGTTAGCCCCTCCCCACTATGAAGGCACATATATATATATATATCAATAACTTTGGGGCGTTTTCTACAGGTGGTGTGTTTGGGAGCCGAACAGAACGGACTCCCGGTGGATTACCTGAAGAGGCTGCAGGCCATTGAAACCAACAACTACAGCGGCCCCTCCTTACTTGATCAAATCACAACAGTCACAAAGTAAAGATTGAACATTAACATTCTTAAAATTTGGATCAGTTTACAAATCTTCATCATGTTTGTAGCAGAATTGAAAACAAGATAAAGTACAGAATATATTTTAGGTTCCTAACTTCTCTTACTAGAAGTTTCTGGAGCTTTTGACCTGTATTTCCCAGTCTTTATTATTACCATAACCATGTAATTAATAATGATATCATATAAATGAAGGATTATAAAGGTATGACATTGCAAAAACTGTGGGATTTAATTAACCGACTGTGGAAAAAGTTAGTAACTGCACCCTGAGGTTTAGGAACTAATATTTCTAAGGTCAAAACTGAATCAGATATGAAAATTAATCAGCACCACAATGTGTCCAGAAGGTGGTGATGTATTCACTCTAGTATCCTTATCTTTTATTTCCAGCTGCTGTTTTTAAACAATTACTGTATTTTATTCAATCACAATGGAAGATAACATGTACGAAACTGTGGAAATTGGTTATATTTCAGGATTACTCAGGGTAATATTAAACACTGAGTAACAAACACCCTTGAGACTCTCTCGTCATCCATTTTCTGTTATTCTCCTTTTGATGATCAAGGCATTGAGACGTTTTTAATTATATTCAAGGCCATTCATACACGTTCAAACTTGTTGAATTAAACACTGTTAAATTCAAAATAGGTTTTATTATAAAATAAAAATAAAAAACAATTCTCTGAATCATTTACGCAAAATGATTCCACTTTATTTGTTACAACACAGTGGTCACTCTTGAACATAATGATAATTTGTAACTCTCCCAACATTTTAGAGCCTCTAGGAATTATAGAAAATACACATGTAGTACAAAAAAAAAACACTGTCAGGAGAACAGAAGATATATGGTGAACACCAACTAGCTTGTTTTATATTTCTAGGTAAATATTCCACACGTCTATGCAAGTATGTAGAATACACAATGGCACACATCTTAATTTCCTCTGACAATCAAACATAGGCCCATGCAAGTGAAATGTCCAGAGTTGTATAATAACCAAGAGTTTTACTGAGAACGTTTTCGAGAATTGGGTTTCAAAACTGCCATCTGCAGGAGTTGGTGAGCAAGAAACAATAGTGGGATGTGCAGTGAACGAACATGGGAAAAAAACAAAATGCACATAACACAAATAGGTCAAAATATGTTTTTTGAAAAAGGGTATAGTATAAAGTATAAACCAAGTCCTCTTAAAAGTGTCTGCACTTAAGTCTTGTTTTAAGCAGACAAGCAATGGTGGAATTGAAACACAATTTTATACAAATGGGCATAAATAAAAAGGTGCCAATAAAAGCAGCTATCAGGAAAAAATCAGTGCTCAACTTGAAGTCAGTAGCCATTGTTGAACAGATTGTAACCAGCTGAATACTGCTGCAGCACAACAGTTTGACACCATTTTATCCCGGACAACTCATCTGTATGGTTATATTCTCTGCCTCTATGATGAAATTGGGATATGGACCACTGACGACATACTGAAGTCAAACAAAGCTCTACTAATGTGGGCTACATTAAGAGACGGCCCTCACTGACAGGTTACGTGTTTGTTAGATAATACATTATGTGCACTGTATGTTGAGTTTCTCTAGTGACTGTCAACACAATAGGCCATCTTTAAATTATTCTGTAATTTATTATTAAGGGAAATCTGCATTAGCTGTGTTTTACATTTCCATTGGCTCCACCTCCGGTAACATATCAGTAGCTTTCTCCTTTCCACTTTCAACCATCGCCTCCGGTCCATCTTCACTGTTTTCCATCTGCTCTGTTGAATCAGTGGGCGGCCGCTTTGCTGTTTCGGCGTGTGGTTGCTCTGTGGTCTCTGCCGGCTGCTGTTTGGGGATCAGGAGATTGTGCTTGGTTTTTCTCAGCTCCGTCATGTTGAATCCGAGGAAAATGGCCGCCGTGTTCTTCTTGAGGTTCTTCATGCACTTGCTGCGCCTCTTGCTGAAGCAGGCCGCCAGCTCTGGCTTGCTGATGGACAGCCTCTTGCACAGCTCTTCGCTCTCCGTTTTGGACGCGTAGGGGTTCACGTTGAAGTACTTCCCAATGAAGTCTTTGCGCTCCTCACTGTCACGGCGGTCGGTGGCGGTGGGCTCCAACACCAGCTTCACTGTGGGGTCAATCTTAATCACAGGCTCAGGCGGGGGCAGCAACCTGTCCTGCTCTTGTTTCCTTCGCATGGCTGCCCTTTGTTCCCGCTCTCGTTTGTTGGTCTCCATGACCTCCCTCCATGCCGTCTCCAGCCTCTTCTTAGACTGCAGCTCTGCCTCCGTCTCTGGGTGCTCCGGGGCAGCGGGGGCAGCAGGGGCAGCGGGGGCAGGGCGGACAGCCTGAATCACACGGGCTGGAGCTATACTCTTCGTCATAGTCATCCCTTGTGGCATTTGCAGAAAGTAAACCGGATGACTGAGCTGCTGGACTTGTTTGGGCGGCTGCGATGGAGCTGCTGCGGGTTTAGGTGGCTGCGGTTGTTTTGGTGAACAACGGCACCGCTGAATGTGAAGCATCACCGCCTGCTGGGTCACCTTCCCCGTATACACACCGTTGCAGTATATGCATTTGAAAGCCTCCGTCTTTAGGATGGCATGAATGGTTGGGGCTACCAAGTGTTTTTGCTTTAGGTGCTGAAGGTGATCGGATTCATTCTGAAACTTTTCGTCGCAGAAGGGACAATACGAGCTGTTGATTTTCGCAGGTGCCGAGCAGATTTCCGGCTGGCTGCTCGGCTGCAACTTGAAGAAGATAAGGTCGAGGGAACTTGTGACGAGGGCTAGATTCACCTCGGTGTCTCCTAGCACCTCTCTAGGCGCTGTGGTGTTGACATCAAAGTAGGGGAACAGGATTCCTCCAACACCTTTAGAGTAGACTCTGTACTTCTGCCTCAGGAAATCACAGTATGCCTTGCCGGTGGGATTGTGCTGCTTCACATGCTCAGTGAGCTGTTTGATTGAAAAGAACAAAGCGGAGCAGTACAAACAGTTCAGTCCATGCAGCAGGTGTTGGAAGACGCTTTTTTCTGATAGCAGAATTTTGCACGTTAGACATTTGACAGTTTTGTCAGGCATTTTCTTCAAGAACGCTGCACGTGCCGCCACACTTTCTGACTTGATGGCTGGGGCGGATTTAGTCGTGTGGGCGACCTCTGTATGCATATCAAAGACGTTGGAGGGGAAGAGTTCGTTGCAGAGTGGACAGGTGATCCATTTCTTGGTTTGTGGTATGGAGTTTTTCGCTTGCTCAACAGCCTTGGCGGGGGTGCTTGTGCTCTGAGAGGCAGGCTTTGCTACCTGCATGGGAGCAAAAGTATACGTGGGCATGCCGTTCATTTTGTTGCCAGTCGGGATAAGGTGACTCAGCAGGGACTCTGACGTCAGCATGGTGCCTTGCAGGGTCACTTGGTTTGTGGGTGTGTTTTGTGTCACCAGAGCAGGCTGAGTTCCAGTCTGAGCTGCCACGTTGGACTGCGGTCCGGACTGGATAAAGATTTGCTGCGTTTGTGCGTTCTGTTTCAGTGGAGCAGGAGCTATAGCCATGTTAGACATTGCTGGAAGATTGACCATATTGGATCCTTGGGGCAAAGCACTTCGGAGGGATATCGTGGCACCAGGCTGGAGCAACCCTTTAGCTTCAGCGCTAGCTAGCTGCACTAGAGCCGATGCTTGAGGGGGAAGAAAAGCTTGGTTTGTTCCAGGGGCGCAGATCAGAGTGCCGTTGTTTGCAGCTGCTTGTAACTGCTGTAATGTCATCACCGTCCTGCCAGGTTGGCCGTTACTTGGGATAATCAAATTATTTTTGAACATTTGAGGTGGCTGCTGTGGTTTAGGAGCAATGTTTGGGAATGTCACAAACATGCCATTCCCGTTAGGCGTTGCTTTGGTGCTGCTGACCGTCTTGTTCTCATGAATCAGAGCCTGCACCTGTGTGCTGACTGAATGGTGCGCTGGCTCGACCAGCATGTGATGCAACATTTGGTCAAGGTTTCCAGTATTCACTTTGCACACCTTGCAGCAGTAGACCTTTATATGACTAGCCCCATTAGGGTGTAATCTGTAACCGATATACTGTTCGGACAATTTGTCCAGGTGCTTGAGAATGACGTGCTTCTTCATCGTAAATATGGAGGAGCCTGGCCATCCACATCTGCGACAATAATAGCGCTCATTTCCATGTTTGGCAGCAGGAGGGGCCTCCTTCAGCGCTTTTATACAGCTGGAATGGAAGTACTGCATGTGTCTCATGACTACCTGGGGGTGTGCGATGAAGATGCACTTGGAACAAGGTGCCAGCGTGCAAAAGGACTGCAGATATACATGGCAGCGACTGATGTGGCTCCTGAAGTTGTAGAGGTTTCGTGACGAGTACTTGCATACGCTACAGCACATAGTTTGAGATCGATAAGGCCACTGAATAAAAAAGAAATGAACAGTTAAAATGTGCGCAGTGTATCCCAAGCGTTCATAACATTTATATTGCGCTACACAACAAAGCAAAAGACTACGCTCCTCTTTCATAGGACAACATGATTCTCAACAGGTATGGGTTCACTAACAAGTCAGTATTTAATAATCAGCCTAGTTAACAATCATCCAAACGTGTCATATTCACCTTTTTCTGTCGTTTAAGATTGTATCCGTCTGTGACATCAAGCCAATCAGTTTCCTGATAGACCTCCTCCTCATCCGAGTCTCTCTCAGTGTTTTCATCGAGATCCTGCACAGCAAGAACACGCAAAAAAATGTTAATGTAAAATAAGTCTATTCAAAGTCATACATGGGAAGCCGTTGTAAAATAAACAACGCCATGCGGTTTAAACAATAGCAAGGCATCATAAAATGAATCACTCACCAATATTTCAACAATAATTGTTGCACCATTTTACTTTTGTAATCCTTTGCTGAGTTAGCAGTATTTGTTCCCATCTTCAATTTGTATTTATATCATCCATAGTAATCATTTTAGCTGCACCGTTTCCCTTTTTGAGAAGGCTCTTATAGTCACAATACCTGCACTGTAAATGACCTTATGTTTGCATTACTGCAATATTTTGTATTATTACCCCTTATTAGCACATAGTCTATTGTCACAGCTCTCTAAGGTAGTTGTGTTAGTGACTAGACATTCACTTTATTGCTTTTGTTTTTATTATGATGTTTCTACTCTTGTGTGTTTACATTTCCCTCAGGATCAGTGGCATATACAGGACTGTCTCAGAAAATTAGAATATTGTGATAAAGTTCTTTATTTTCTGTAATGCAATTAAAAAAACAAAAATGTCATACATTCTGGATTCATTACAAATCAACTGAAATATTGCAAGCCTTTTATTATTTTAATATTGCTGATTATGGCATACAGCTTAAGAAAACTCAAATATCCTATCTCTAAATATTAGAATATCATGAAAAAGTATACTAGTAGGGTGTTCAACGAATCACTTGAATCGTCTAATTAACTCGAAACACCTGCAAGGGTTTCCTGAGCCTTGAAAAACACTCAGCTTGGTTCAGTAAACTAAATCACAAGTATGGGGAAGACTGCTGATCTGACTGCTGTCCAGAGGACCGTCATTGACACCCTCCATCAGGAGGGTAAGACACAAAAAGAAATTTCTCAAAGAGCAAGCTGTTCGCAGAGTACAGTTTCAAAGCACATCCACAAAAAGTCTGTTGGAAGGGGGAAATGTGGCAGGAAACGCTGCACAACCAAGAGAGATGACCGCAGCCTTAACAGCATTGTGAAGAAGAGTCGCACAGGGGATAGGGGGGAGCTTCAAAGACAGTGGACTGAAGCTGGAGTCCAGGTATCAAAGTCACTGTTCACAGAGGGGTCCGGAAATGGGCTACAATAGCCGTATTCCCATGGTCAAGCCACTTTTCTTGAACTCAAAGACAACGGAAAGAGGCGTCTACTTGGGCTAAGAAAAGAAGCACGACAGTGTGCACAGTGCTCCAAAGTCCTCTTTTCAGACGAAGCACAGTTTTGTATTTCATTTGGAAGTAGCGCCAGAGTCTGGAGAAAGGCTGGAGAGGAGCAAAGCCAGGGCGTGACAGGACCCCACAGTCAGCGTTGTGTTTTGGGGAGCCATGTCAGCTGCTGGTGTTGGGTCCACTGTGTTTATCAAGCCCAGATAAATGCAGCGTGTGTCCAAGAGATTTTTAGAGCACGACATGCTTTGCCGTCTCTGAAAAGCTCTATGGAAGATGAGGAATTCATTTTCCAGCATGATCTGGCCCTGCCCACAGTGCCAAAACCACCAGTAACTGGTGTACTGACCATGGCATTACTGTCTCGATTGGCCTGCAAATTCCCCCTGACCTGAAGCCCCATAGGAGCATATGTGTGGTATTGTGAAGTAGAAGCTGAAAGGACAGCCAGACCCAACCAATGCTAATGAGCTAAGGCCGCTATTGACGCATCCTGCATCCTACACCTCAGCAATGCCACAGGCTGATGCCTCCATGCACGGCCGCATTGATGCAGTAATCCGCTGCAAAAGGGATTTCCCAACCAAGATACTGAGTGCGGCAGTAAAACAGTTCAAATGAGTGATGTTTTGCTTTATCTGTTTACTTGGTCTGGGGGAACTTGCTAATGGTTTGAATAGGATTTTTGTGAGCCATAATCAGCAATACTTAAAATACATAAAGGCTTGAATATTTCAGTTGATTTGTAATGAATCCAGAAGTATGACATGTTGTTTTTTAATTGCATTACAGAAAAATAAAAAGAACTTTATCACAATATTCTAATTTTCTGAGACAGTCCTGTATATATATATAATTGCAAGGTTATAATGCGTATCCTAAACGANTATCCCAATTACAAGCAACGACACAACTACCATTATACCAATTACAAGCAACGACACAACTACCATTGCGGCGATTACAAGCAACGACACAACTACCATTATACCAATTACAAGCAACGACACAACTACCATTATACCAATTACAAGCAACGACACAACTACCATTGCGGCGATTACAAGCAACGACACAACTACCATTGTGCCAATTACAAGCAACGACACAACTACCATTATACCAATTACAAGCAACGACACAACTACCATTGCGGCGATTACAACCGGAGACATGACTACAAATCCGCCAATCACAAGCAATAACACAACTACAAACACGCCAATTATGAACAACGACACAACTACCATTATGCCAATTACAAGCGACGACACTACTACCAATATGCCAATTACAAGCAGTGACACAACTACAATTATGCCGATTACAATCAACGACACAACTACAATTATGCCGATTACAATCAACGACACAACTACCATTGCGTCGATTACAATCAACGACACAACTGCAATCACAAAGACTACACAGTCCAGCCACAGTACAACTTTCATTACAACTACAACACAGCAGAGCAACATCACAACAACTCCAGCAACCACACAAACAAGCAAAAGCACAGCAAGTACTCCTACAGAAGCTTCAGAAAGCTCGACAGCTGTGCTGACTACAGCAACACTAACAAACTCTACTAACACCTCTCCTGAGACTCCTGTGATGACCACCACACTCTCACCCACCCCTTTCACCACAAACCCAAACCTAACAGCCGGACCCCAACCCTCTTCACCTACCTCCATCACCACCTCCAGCTCTCTCCCTACTTCCCCAAGCAGTAGCACTGCAGCCCCCACTGGAAATACTACCACCCTTAGTCCCTCAGCAACAAACCCAGGAGGTAGGAACAACAACATGATGAGTGTTGATTTGTGTTATTTCATTCTTACAAAGTAAACTTTGTAAAATGCAGTAGTAGGAATTCAGCAAAGACCAGGAGTTAGGCTGCATATTTCATCAGTTTGCCAGGTTTTCAGGTCTCTCAATGCAGATTTTTGAATGAAACAGCGATTTAACCTTTATCTTTAAACACATTTCCTATAGGCCTAGTTGATAAGGCTAATGTCTCATTTACACTGAAGGATTCAGCTCAACTCCATTTGCTGCTGCTCAAAAGTATTCAATGATAGCATTGTGATGCTAATGAGGTTTTTTATCATGTTCACCATTTTAATTTAGCATGCTAACTTTTGCTAACTAGCTCGGTTGGATATTCTCTTATCTGTATCCTTTAACTGATTTTCACATATTTTTGAATGTTACAGTGACGATATATACCACTATGACTCAATCACCTGAACCATCAGTTGGTGATGCATCAGCTTCATCCACCACCCTCCCAACCCCCACCTCCACCATCAGTACAGGCACCATCATCACTTACACCACCCTGCGACCAACAGAAGTCACTACCACTAACTCCACCACAGCAGCCCCACCCACCCCTCCAGTCATAGGTTAGTATCTTCCAAAAGTTCCTGGTGATGCAGAACTTCATCAATTACCTCACTAACCAAATGTATTCTATTTCTTGGTTGGAATTAAATCCTGCATACACAAGCATACAAATTGATGAGGTGATTGTTTCAATGTTTTGTTGCTAAAGCGGTTTAAATGAGAAAAAAACTTTTGCTGATTTGTTTCATTCAATAATTATAAGGCTATAATCAATATCATAAAAACAACTATTTCAATGTTATGTAAATTCTTCAAGTTATTTCAGGTTAAACAAACTCAGTTCACATAAGAAAAAAATCTGATGGCTAGTTTTTAACAAACCATTTTTCTCCATTAGTGTGTCCTTCCGTCCCATGCCCACTTGAAAGCGTTTGTCTAAATGGCACTTGTCAGTGTCTCTCTGGTAGCTTCCTGGTAAATGGCCGCTGTGCACAAGGTAAGAACATAATAACATTTATTGTCTGGTCAGATGAGAAATGCCTAAAATACAAATCATTACAGGCTGTTGGTGGTGAAGCTTCCACCTTATTTTCTCCTCTCCTCTTCATTCAGCCCAAGTTTTCTCAGGCAAGCTTCATCTCACCTCCTTGACATTTAAAAATGAAATGAGCAACAGGTCCTCTGTAATATTCCACGAGACGGCGTCTCAGATCTCAGCAACGGTAGGTTGGGATCCCACAAAAGCATTTAGAATTTATTTGACACATTATTTACAGTACTTTAACCACATGCTTTTTCGGTTGCACAGCTCAGAAATGCCCTGAAGAATCAGCCGGGGTATAAACAGTCTGATGTTGTGCAGCTTAAGTAAGTATTTTTTTCATCTCCAACTGCTAAATATTATATGCCATATTAAAAAAAAATAGTTTAACATATTTTGATGCATTTCTATATTCTTTTAGACCAGGAAGTGTGCAGGCAATTGTTAATAACATCTTTGAAAACACCAACACCACTCAAAAGTCTGTTGATCAGGCCATTCAAGAGGCTATTATAGCCAATCCAGAAAATACATTATTGGCTAATGCTACGTTTATAGGTAAGTAGTGCTAGTAACAGGCTACATTAATTAAAGAAGAGAAGAAAGGTATTTCTCTTACATTTGTTTAAAATCTTCTGTTTTAGGTACAAACCTGTGTGTGCAGGAACCCTTACCCTGTGAGGTCTCAACTACAATGTGCACAAATACAAACGGCCGGCCTCTGTGTTCCTGCAGAGAGGGCTACATCTCTATCCTGTACTCAAACAGCAGCTGTAAAGGTCAAAGCAACTACTAAATATGCTTTATTCTCATATTGACTAGTGTTAGGTTTCAGTAAGTAAACTACAACATACTTTAGCATTTATGTTGTCATGTTAAAAAAAGGTACACTTTACAATGTGCTGCTACATTATGGATTATTAAAGCCTCATGTAAAAACAAAAAATTGTTTAGGTAAGAGTGCTTCCTGGATCCAAATAGAGCTGAAGTGAAGTCTTAAAAACTGCGCTTCAGTTTAGAAAACTGTAACAGAGCCTTCTTATCCTCAGTGAAGTACTTGTGTGTGAGAATGAGAGGGAGAAACAACAGGGAGCCAGACTTAGAGACAAGGTCAAGAGTGGTAGTCTTTTCTCTATGTCGACCCTTGACCCTTACTTTATTTATCTCTCTAATTTACTTCTTTTTAATAGGGGGTTGTTTCCCAGGAAACACATTGAAGAATCACATCTTTCTCTGTCTTTTTCTTTTGAGGGTTGTGACTAAGGAGATGAGCTCTAGGCATAGTAAAAGAACAACAAATGCTGCATGCATTTTCTTTCCCAGCAAAGACATAATGTACCATTATGTGCTTATTTAAAATGGTCCATGAAGAGGCTTTTATTATGCTTATGCTTTCATTGCGTGTGCAGCCTGCCGTACTGTACATCTCCTTCTACCGTGACTCTGAGTGGGAAACTGTATCTTGTTATGTTCACATTTCATTCTAATTTTGTAAAAACATTGTGTGTGTGTGCGTGCATTTGTTTGATTGTTTGTTTAATCATTGTGTTTCTCTTTTATAGCGTGTCCAAGTGGGCAAAGGGCAGTGGGAGACACGTGTCAACCGTGAGTATACATTTTGTTTAAAGGGTATGTTTAGCATGTGCAGGGGTGGGATGTCTGTGTATTACTGTATGTCTGGGACATGTGGATGTGTAGGTGGCTCCCCCATGTGGATTCAACGCTAAACTTAATTGATATTCAACGAATATTGTGTTCAATCGCTCTGTTTTGTCTCTTAGATGTGCATTTGGATATGCTGGCTTCAACTGCAACGACTGTGAGTAACAAAGGACTAAACAATGCAGTAGCAACAGTCATGTGTGGACCCGTAAACATCAAAATGTCTTTATGTGTGTATTTACAGCTGCTCTGCTGGCAGTGGTGGTCATCTCCTGTGTACTGGGAGGAATTCTCATCATCCTTTTGCTGGCTTTGCTCATATACTGCTTCCGGTAAGGATATATATAAAAAAGTCCTTAACATACACTTTTACCAACATTAGCCCTGTAATTATTCAGAAAAAACGCATTGGGTAATATTCATGTCAAAAGACAGAAAAGTAGAGTTTTATTTTTGTTAAAAAGTGTTTTTGTTTTGTTTTGTTGTTACAGCATCACTTTTGATAAGGCTGGTGATATTCCATATTTTTCTATTTGTAAAAAATATATTTGCAATTCATTCCATCTTTCAGTGTACTTACAACACGTTGGTGGTAAAAAAGAAAAAAAAGTATATCATTTTTTTATAGTTTTTGAACATCAGTGTAGCTCTGTGACACAGGAATAATTCAAACAAGCTTTGGAAACAAAGAAAAGTATTATTGCATGACCATTTTGCATTTTCTGTTATCTGTACATCAGCATGCGAAGCTCAAAGAGCAAGCCAGACCTCAGTCGCAGTCCATACTCATCAGGGGACTTAAACCATCCCTGGCCCACTGGCATCACCCCCATCCCCCGAGCCACCTCTAACTGGGATGCCGCTACCCCCATAGAGATGACGGATGGGGGCAGCGCTCGTGCCAAAAAGCATCAAACCAATGGATTGGTGAGTTATCACACCTATCAATCACTTACCAATAATCCTAAACTCACAGTCTTGCATAGTTTCGATCACCACTAAATCAGCCTTTAGTTTGTTCAATGTTGCCCCAACATCTTACATCCATTTTGCATCTGCTTTTCAACCCAATGAGCATAGATTTGATAATTTACAGGAAAGAAATACATCTAGGTGAGGTGAATATCAAGCTTAATTAGACATGTACATTTCTAGAAACATATATATTGTTTCAATGGCTGTAGTTGCTACCCTAGATACGCTGAAACATGTTTTGTTGTACACACATTTAACTCAGTCTTAGCTCTAAACACCTGGATATTTTTGACCTGCAAATCAACACATCCCTGCTCACTGGGTATATAATCATCTCATCATTTCAGAGACAGATTTGATGCTTTGCTGATATGTTATCAGTCCTACCCACATCACAATGTTCAACCCACTCATCCAGAATGTATATTTATAGTGGTAGCACATAGCTCCCTATCATGCTCCCTGCTTTGCCTGACTCCCAGTATGTTGCTTTAGGGGTTTCATCCGAAGCAGAAAGGATGGAAAAAGGTAAGGCATGGCTTTGCTTTTAGTTTCTGATTTGCCTTGGTTCCCCCTGTTGATGATTTAGACAGAGTGAGAATAACGGTGGAAGGATTCCCGGGGTGATGGGGAGCTTCATGAGAATCTGATTGTTGTGGAAAGCCGTGTGCTTTCATCTACATGTTAATGTAGTGAGTGACAGTTCAACCTCAGCTGATGCTAGGTGGGGGAGTAGTAATTTTCACTGCATATTGGTGAGGGTTACTTGTGTATGTGTGCTTGGCTTTGGTGGGTGTTTGTGTATATATGTCTTCTCTGAAAGATACTAACATGTTGACTGTTTCCACTGATGTTTCAGTCCGGATCATACGATCTCAACCCAGATGGAATGAACACCTTCACAGGTAAAAATCCCTCGCGTTACTCCTATCTGGTTCAAGGACATGAGAACCCCTACTTCTTACCAGGAGAAGGCTGTAAAAACTGAGGACATCTGTGTGAAAATGAGGAACACGGATCAAAGAGAAGCCACTGATTTAAACTCTGGGTATACAGGACCAGGAAAATGTATCCGTTCTTGAACTTGCTTTGAGTAAGAACAATTCTTTATTGATAAACAGCCACCAAAGATTTTCCTTCATAACATTTTTATTTGAGGTTTTGTGTTCTTTGGGAAAGCTGAATGTTGCGACTTATAACCAGTAGGTGTCACTGTTGCTCAGGGACATTTTCTTCTGAATCTGACTTTTTAATATTTATAAGAAATCCTCATGTTGACTTTATAAATGAAGCTTCTTATATTGATAATTGCACTAGAGTGTATGTTAAGTTTACGACCAATGGTTAGCCTGGAATGGAACGTACTTTAAATACTGGGTTTATTGACACTTTTCTGATGTGTATGATGATTTTTTAGACAAATTAATCTTGTAAGACTAAAGGGGCTGGATCTCTTGTTCTGGGTATTTTTAAAGGGATTATTTTATCACCTCTTCAGCTAAATTTTCTCTGTATTTGTTTAAGCTGCATTTGCAAAATGTGCCTGTTTGAATAGTCTGTTTGACACAGGAAATATGCAAAGCTGGTGATAAAGTTTGTCTTATGGATGTGCCAACCGTCACTTTTATACATTTAGTTTGACATTTCTTAAATATATATTTATCCTTGTGTGTCTGAGACAGTGCGCTATTTAAGTGTGTAAAGGCTATGTAAATAATTGAATATCTTTGGCACAGAATGAGTGTGTGTGCGTGTGTGAATGCAAATAAATTAATGTAAACACAACGATTATGTTTCTCATCTTTGGTGGCTTTGTTAATACTGCTTACATTTCCCGTTATTTAATTATAATGCATTTCTGTGTCTTTTCAACAGCCTCTCCCTGTCACTAATCATCATTATAGATTAGGATGACACTGATAAGTAGTATTTTTATATTGTGCTTTTGAGGTTGCGGAGCGCCCAAGCCATCTTAAGCACCTTTAAATCATATCATACCTTGTTTTTTTGCCTTTATACTTCTTGACTTTTACAATCAGATTTTCTGTCAAACTGAATTTTAAAACACATTTAAAATAGAGCAATCGGTTGATTTAGCAGATATTAATCACACACATGACGATGAGGGTGCCAACTGTTCTTTTATTTATTTATCTGACCATTCTACTAGCATTTACTAAACTGACCAACAGGGTGGCGATAAAATGCCAGGATTGGCCAGAAAAGAAGAAGAAGAAGACTACAAACTAGGAAAAGTAACGCAAACAATTCTGTATTTATAATCCTTAGAAATGGGCTTTGCAAAAGATTTCTGCAGAACATACTTCCAAAACGTTTGTTAGATCGCAGCCTTATACTCTACACGTGATTTGGTGAGTAACATTGAATGTAGACAAAACTAGACAGGGCACCTTTAGTTTACAGTAATCACAGGCATCAATTTTTCCAATTAAACTACATATATACACATGCGAATCATTCATACATGCTTTAGCAAGAATCGACCTTCATTTAAAGGTCCCATGACATGCTTTTCTGGTTATTAGGCAAGGCAATTCAAGGTGCTTTACAAAAATGAAAGACATTCAGACAAAGGCATTTAAAAACAGTAAAAGATAATAAAAGAAACATTAAAAGAAAAAGTAGCCTACATGAATAAAAAGTACATGAATAAAAAAAGTACATGAATAAAAAGTTACAGTGCAGTTTAAGATATGAATAGTTCACACAGAAGTTCCACTTTACTGATGCCTTTCTTTAAGGTGTCTCCGAACATGAGCTGTGTACGCTGGATGGCACATACGTCCCGAGCAGCATACACAGACAGAGCAGCACTTCCTCACACAATGCCCAACTTTTGAACCTGTACGGAAACAATTCTTCC